AGTTCGCCTGGCAGAGCTACAAGCGTTACGCGATGGGGAAAAACGAGCTCCGGCCACTCACGAAAGACGGCTACGAGGGCAGCATGTTCGGTGAGTTGGTGTCCGGCAGACCCACTGCCCCCCCCCCCCCCGCTGCGGACCGAGTGGGGTGCGGTTTTGACTTTTCACCCCCTGAGTTGTGTTCCTATTTCCCCAGACCTGGGGGATCCCAAGGCTGACTTCCTTCTGGGCTGTTCAGGCTTCTGAGCTTTCTAGATTTGGGGGAAGCCCACACGCTTCCGTCTCACTTCACACTCGTCTTTGTATGTACTTAATGTGTGTTTTCGAGCGAACACACTCGGACGTGTGGCCGGGGACAGTGAGGAATGGAGACCTGCTTCCAAGGAGTAGGTTTGGAGCTCTGAAGGACACAGATGCGGAGGGGCTTTAAATCCACTCCTCCAGGCGTAGCTGTAAAATGATCTCGGGTGATTTCATAGAGAAAGAGTAGAGGTTTCTGATGACGTGGGCGTGGGCACTGCCTCCAGGGTCCTACAGGTGCACCTCGCACGCTGACTTGGTGGACGGACAGAACTGTAGCCCGGCAGGGAGCGGCATGGGTGCTACCTCGTGTCACCAGCTCGTGTGTGACCTGCAGCCTCACTTGCCCATGTCCCTTCCCTCTCCAGCCACGGTTCTCCTAACTCGAAAGCCTCTCTCAGCTGGAGAGACTGCAGAGTGCCTTATTGTGGGCATGACCTCACGTTCCAAATTTAACACCCTTCTAAGTCGCCAGCTCTCCTCTCTGTAGGCCTTTCACAAGAAAAGCCTCCCGGCTTGCTTCTTCCTTGAGAGACGGGAGCTGTCTGGGGCTGGAGACAAAAATTCACCTGCTGTGTTCCTTACTCCTTAGAGACACAGGCTCCTGAGGTCCAGACCCAAAGAACTAAGTCAGTTGAAAAGTCCCAGGAAAACCTTTTTAATGTTTATTTATTTTGAGAGAGAGAGAGAGGGCAGGCGAGAGGGGCAGAGGGAGCGAGAGAGAGAGAGAGAGAGAGAGAGAATCCCAGGCATGCTCCATGCTCAGTGTGGAGCCTGACTCAGGGCTTGATCTCACGACCGCAAGATCACGACCAGAGCCGATATCAGGAGTCGGCCACTTAACCAACTGAGCCACCCAGGCTCCCCTCCCAGGAAAACCTTGAAGACAAATTTAAAGGAATGGCCCCTGTGTGTATGGTCTTATTAGAAGCATTTGTGTTGCGGGAAAAGAGACACAGGACCTGCTTTCCTCCCTGTAACCAGTCAGCATCACATCCTTTCTGGACGTTCAGATAATTCACTCAGGGTGCGCGTGCGCGTGTGTGTGTCTCGGGGGCGGGGGGGTGGAAAAGGAAGAGAGACAGAAAGAAAGAATTTGGGTAGCTGCTTTTATTTTTCTGATTATCACAGGAATGTAGGAGAAAAGAAAAAGTATCAAAAGGTGTAAAACAGAAAACAAACAACTCGTTCTGCCACCCGGATGCAGCCTGTGTTGATATCTTGGTTCACTTCCTTCCAGTCTTCTCTGTACTCTTTTTCCCTCTCTGTATGCAATTCCATGTCCTCTTTCTCTCTCCATCTCTCTCTGTTTTGGCTTAATGTTCCATTCATAGGTATTTCCCTAACTTATTCAATTTTTTTTCATAAAGAATGGCTTTAAAGGTTGCAATTAATGCATGGATGTGCCGTAGTTCATTTAACTATCCTGCTAACGTTGGACAGAAGCCGTTTCCATTTTTTTGCTGTTAAAAACAATTCAGCAGTTACATCTTTGTGCATAAAATGTTGTCTTAGCATAGATTGCTACGGAGGACTCTTGAGTCAGAGGAGAGGAAGACAGATGTTTCCTTAACCTCAAATATGAAATGTGCAGATTTCTGTTGAGGAGCCTGGTTGTCCTCCCTGCCTTAGAACAGACCTTCCCCACCATCAGCCCGGGGGAAAGGCGGCTGGCGTGAGTCTCCTCAGAGTTGTTGGACCTTTGGCTCCTGGTGTACATCGGGGCTGGAACCACGGAGGCAGTGTGCGAATTTTCGGGGAATTGGTGGAAGTCGGGGGAGGCTGATTTCTGAAACTGCGCAGCAGGGGCATAGCTGTTGCTCAGACCATCCATGGGGACAGAGGGAGCACCACAGGGAGCACTCCAGGGAGGATCGGGCTAAGCCACCTCCCCTTGTGTAAACATTCCTCAAGGCTGCCATTTGCATCTCAACTCTCCAGCCCCTCTTCAGTCACCAGACCTGATGGAGAGTGGGCAGCTAGAATGGTGGAAAGAAACTTGGACCTGGGTACAGGTCCTCAGTCTGCCCTGCGCTGTGTGGCCAGGTCCAAGTCACTTCGCCTCTCTGGGCCCCCTCTTGTCCATCCTTCACACTGGACTTCTGTGTGAGCACGTATGACCACGCAGAGGGCCAAGCGTGTACGAGTGATTTACGATTTACAGCATAGCAAATGCAGTCAGCGGTTGCCCAGGTGAGGCCATGGGAGGTCCTGAGGTCCCCCGGGCATCTGTCTCCCAGAACAGCCTTAGCAGGACCCCCGGTGCCACATTGTCCAGTGTTTGCAACAGTCCTGGCAGTGACGCAGCGTCTTTCTTCTGCTGCCAGCAGAGAAGTGGCAGTGGGCGGCTGGCTCCTGGGAGAGGAGGGTGGGCAGGGGCCCGGGTACTGGGCAGGGAGAGCTGGTCTCAGTTTACTCTTTCACTCAACGAGTGTTTATTTACCAGCTCCTGGTTGTGTGAGCTTAGGCAAGCCATCTCTCTACGATCCTGAGTTTTTCTGCACAGCGGCGCTAAAGAAGACCTCAGAGCCCCAGCCCAGGGCCTACCTGACATGGAGAACCTGCCAAATGGGTAGTAGCTATGACCGTGGCGACTGCATGTGTGTCTTATGAGACAGAGGCTTATGGGAATGCAGAGGAGGAAGAGGTTCTGGTTTGGACTGGATCCATGAGGGGCTTTGAAGCCAGACTGTTCCCGAAGACAGAAGGAGGTGAACTGGCCTGAATTCAGCTGCTTGTCACCCTGCCACTTCTTTTTCTGGACTCACGTGGGCCGCTGGGTGGCCTCGTTGCTGGGCTCTGGCCCCTGCCGTCTTCCGTGACTTCGCCGTAAACTGAGCCCCGCCGAGAAGGTCGGGTGGGAGCAGTGCCCACCCTGCCCCACCCGGCCGAGTCGTTTGGACGCTGGCTCTTGCAGTCCCCTCTTCCTGGCCTGCAAGGCCAAGAGGGCTGCATGCGGGGAGGAGTGATGGGTTCACACTGGCGCCTGGCTCTGCAGGGAGAACATCAGATGCCAAGCGTGGTGTCCTGTGCGGCCCTCCTCCACATTTCACCACGTTGGTTCCCCTCTCAGCTGCCCGTGCACCCCTCCCTGAATCTGTTCTCACTCTGAGAGCAAGACCACTGAGCGAGTTGTCTCTCAAGCCAGTGTTCGTGTCCTAAGCAATTCAGTATCAAAGTGGCTTCCTTTTTACTAACATCCGGCTCAGCAGGCCCTGTCCGAAATTGTTCCCAAGACCCCGGGGCTGTGGGTAAGGACACAGCCTGCTCCTTGCCTTGTGGCCCAGGCCACGGCAGGTATCCGTTTCTTTCCCCGTCCTCTGAGATGTCACCGGAACGTCCCTGTTAGTGTCCAGCCAGGTGGTGGAAAGAGCGTGGACTTTGGATCTAAGCCTACCTGAGCAGGGCCTCTGTGTTGCCACTTGGTAGCTGTGTGGCCTCAGACTGTGGAGTGGGGCAGAGGCCCCTGTCTCCTGGGGCTGTGGTGACAGACTGGAGACAAAGGCCTAGCCCCGAGCCAGACCCAGAGCAGGCACTCGATGGCAGTGCTCTTATCGCTGGTAACTCTCAGAGGCTTGGTGCACAGAGGCCCAGCTTCCTTACCTATGCAAAGGGCTGCTGCTAGGAGTTGGAGGACATCAAATGAGCTAGCTGAGGAGCATGGGACTCAGGGGCCACACGGCTTGCATTTGCATGCTGCTCCACACTGATTAGCTGTGTGATCGTGGGCAAGTTTAACCTTTCTGGGCCTCAGTGTCCCAGCTATAAGTTGGGGCAACAGTACTAGCTACTCACAGGATTGGTTTGAGAGCTAAAGGAGCTGAGACACAGAAGCGCTCATATTCATGCCTGGCGTTCTTCAAGTCAGCTGATGTGAGGATGATGTGAGTCCCTTAGAACAGTATGTGCCCCTCCTGTTTTGACTGGAGCATGCCCAAGACCCCTGGGCTCAGGGCACCACCTGAGGGCTCCAGGGCTTTCCAAGCCTGCCCTGTTTTCCCAGCCCTTGAGTACCCATGGCAGAGATCATGGGTGGGCAGCCCACTGGTGGACAGCATCCCGTTCGCTCCTTCATTGAAGCAGCTGACAGAGGAATTTTTAACAGGGAAGAGGCAGGGGAAGGTTAAGGTTCAAGGCCATGGAATAAATCAGCCTCCTGCCAGGATAAGAATTTCCGGGCAGGTAGTAAGTGACACCTTGCATCGGTGCCAGCTGCCAGCCTTGAAGCACTTAACGAGCACTAATCCTCCCAAGAAGTCCGAGTGAGCCATGATAACTTCATCTTGCCTTGGCAGAAGGGAAAATCGGCACGAGCACAGAGTCTTGGGAGGGTGCCACCAGTGGGACTCTTTGAAGGCAGGTCCTACTTCTTCATCTGAGTGTGGGGGAAGCCAAGCTCAGAGAGGGGAAGGGACTTTTGGGGTGACACAGCCTATTAATTGCAGGACGGAGGCTCAGACTCTCGGCCTGAGTCCCAGCCCAGGGCTCTTTGCACCACCCACTCTGAGATTAGCTAAATTGACCAAGGCCGGATTGTCAAAATGCAGGCCTACGGTCGTGGCCAGATCACCACCAGGAGCTAGGAGTTTGTGGAGCTTTAGCAGGAGGACACTGTCAGGGAGTGTATGATTTGGGGGTTCCCTGCACATGCATTCTCTTATGTCTTCCTCATAGCCCTTGGAAGGAATAAACTACCCATTTTATCCCTATTTCACAGATAAGGAAACTGAGACTAGGTGAGTTTTAGGACTTGCTTAGTCACACAGTTGTCAAGCAGAGACTTCATGACAAGGCTGTCAAACTCCAAAAACCAACCCATAAACCACCGTGCTGCCCTGTCCCCCAGTGACCACTTACGGTGGCCACAGAGAAGGAAACAGGGCAGAAGGATGGTTTCGGGGCTGGTGGTGCTGTATCTTCTACTCCACTGTCCTCATGGAAGCTGGAGAAGACATGTACTTCATGGCCAGAGTCTGCTGCAGCCCATCTCCAGGCATCAGTTTCTACTGGACATCAGCTGAGGATTCAGGGCCTGGAAAAAAGACTCAGATTTTCCTCTGTTCTCCCAGCATAGGAAGATATTTTATCCCTGCCCAATAACCTGAAAACACATGATTGCAAAACACTTCACTGGCCGTCAGCATAATGAGCTAAGAGAGGTATGGATTTGAGAACCTCACCTGCCTGAGTTCGAATCCTGGCTCTGCCACTTACTAGTCATGTGACCATGGGCAAGTTTCTTTCTTTCTTTCTTTTTAAATGTTTATTTATTTTTGAGAGAGATAACGAGTGAGCAGGGGAGGGGCAGAGAGAGAAGAGGACAGAGGATCTGAAGGGGGCTCTGTGCTGACAGCAGCCAGCCCAGTGTGGGGCTCGAATTCACAAACTGTGAGATCATGACCTGAGCTGAAGTCAGACACTTAACCAACTGAGCCACCCAGGTGCCCCAGGTTTCTTAATCTCTCTGCACCTCGGTTTCTCCATCTGTACAATGAGGATAATACCTACTTCACCTAGCAGCTGTAAAGATCAGATAAAGCCGATGTGTGTGAAACACCTGCCAAGTACACTCGTTAACTGTAAGCTGCCTCCACTGTTATTCTATTTGTTAAAAAATGATTGTGAAAATAATTCTATTCCAAGGAAAGAAACAGTGCCTGGCACATCACAGGCACTAGGCTCTTAATCAATATTTTGGAATGAAAGAATCGCCCACCTCAGTCTCCGCCTGCCCTGTTTTCCCCTAGCCCCTCGTCCTGGGTTTGGCTGGGGAAGGGCTGGATCCTGCTGTGCTCTCTGTTCCTCTCACTCTCTCCAGTTGCCTTGACCTCCTCCTTTGTCACAAAGTGCACTTGGAATCCGCAAACTAACCCAGGAGAGCAACGGCCCTGCTTGGTCAGGAGATCTGCCTCGCGGGCGTCTTCTCCGTGGAGCATGGAGGCACTTGTGTGGCCAAAAGCAATGCTGCCCTGCTCCCAGCCGGCTCAGGATGACCGTGAGAGCCCCAAATTGGATTCCTCCTCTGCCCTGTGAATCCCCGATAGAACTGCCAACCAAATCCCCATTTCGAGGGATGATTTATGGCCTTGGGTGAGTTAAGAGGCAAAATGAACACAGCATGATTTTCAGATCACAGGCTGGGAATGTTCGGCCTTGGCAGAGAGAAAAATCATCTTTGCCTTGTAAATGGAGCAAATATGATGTTGAAGAGGGAATAAATCCAGGTCCCAAGATGTCATTTTTACAATTGCTTTCTGGCGTGTGACTCAGTAGTGCCTCCTGCAGAATGCTCACAGTCTCCCCCCCACCACACACACACGCACCCCAGTCTTACTGGATCTCTTTGTGGGGGTGAGAGTTACTCTACCAGTATGGCTACCTAGGGAACTGCACACTTTGCCAGAGAGACAGTTTGCGAAAGCCACCTGCTTCTGCGGTTTTCCACAGAACTCCATGTTGTTCCCGCAGATCTCTGAGCTTGTTTCTGGGAGGCAGCCTTTTGACTTTGGAGGTACGCCTGAGTTCACGTCCTCATTAGCGTTTACCAAGCAAATGAAACTGGGCAAGTCATGGAATTCTCTGAACCTCAGTTTACTCACCTGTGACGGCGAGGGGGGCAGGCCTAGGTTGCCCCAGTACCCTGCCTGGCGTGCGCGCGTCCCCTTCCCGGGGCCCTTTCCCTCCTCCCCTGCTATTGGGTAACAGAGCACGTTGACTTCTCTGGCTGAAAACACCCTATCTACTTTGTGGACGGTTTCTTTTGTCTGAAAAACAAAACCAAAACACCAAGGATCCCATAGTTCTTGGGAAAATCAGCGTCAGGCCATGTTGTCACTGATTTTTAGCAGGCTGTGGTGCACATTCCTGACCCAGCCTTTGAGTTTGTTTTGCGAAAGAGCTGTCATCTTCCTTGGAAGTGGTGATGTTGCAATTGCTTGGATGGAACGGGTCAGGCGTAAGGGCAGCGAGCAAACCTTCCGGGCAGTCATGTGTTTGGGGAGCCGTGGCCGCTCCATCCGGACGCTGGAGGCTGTCAAAGTGCAGAGGAAATGGATTAGAAATGCTGGTCACTGGCAGATGGGCTTTTAGCACAAGGAGGGTGATGGGATGGAAATATTAACCCCGCATGTGAAGGACGGGCAGAACTGGCCGTTGCTGGTCGGATGCTATGGCCTCATGGGGGCCTCCCTGTGGCCTTGAGTGACACCTCCATGATTTCCCGGCCACCTCCTGAAGACCAGAAAGCCCCTCGGGTCACACCGGATAATTACCAGAGCAACGCGCTCACCTCTAAATTAGCCTGCTGGGTTCTCACACTCTGATGCTGCTGACCGTTCGTGGCACGGTGCTGTGTACCCGCCTCCCGCGAAGATTTTTTTTTTCCCAAGCGCTTTCTAATTAAGATGCATCTTGGCCGTTTCCTTTTTTCTTTTTGTTTAAAAGGCTTCCCACCAGCACGGAGCATAATTTATTTCTCTAAAAAATATAGTAGCAGGTTGTTGTACAAAGAAAACCCGAGGTCAGGAGCCTTGGGTCCCCGTCCCAGCCCTGGCGCCAGCTGCCGTGTGAGCCGGCGGCTTCCTCTGGGCCTCGTCCGGTCTTCTGTACAAAGATGCCCATCCCCTCTGTGATTCCTCGTTGGTTACTAGGCTGATTTCTTTCTTTCTTTTTCTTTCTTTCTCCCCCCCCCCCCCTCCCCAACCTCTGAGAGGCTATTTGGGCTGTGCTGGTTCTCTTGACATCTGAAATTTTAGTAGCAAGACTTGTTCCTGTCAGGGAGAAGTGAGTCAGGGTATCTATTCCCAGAGCAAGCTGTTGGATGCATAAGATGATTCATATTGAAAGCGACATTCCCTCCTGGAGGCGGGGTGTTCCCACCCACTTTCCAAAGACCTTGCCTTCCTTGGAAACGAGGCTGAGCCCACGGCAGACAACCAGCCCCCTTTTCTCCGCACCACATTGATTCGAGTTTGGCATTTGCCAAATTTCCCAACAAACTCAGGGACAAATAGGTATGTGAATTCGCAGAATCTCAGACTGCTGGTGCCAGCTGGATCCTTTGAAACCATCTGGTCTGATGTCTGGAGGATGGGGAAGGAGGCACCCGGAGGGAGGGACAGAAATGCTCACAAAGCCCTGATAGCCAGGACTTGTGCCCTGGTCTATTCACTTGGGCCTCTCTCTCTCTCTCTCTCTCATTTTTTTAATTAGTTTTTAAAAATGGAGATGTAACTTATAGCTTACATGCAGTAAAATGCACACATCTTAAGTGCACATCTTAAGTGCACATCCCAATGAATTTTACGTACAGGTACATCCTATAACTACCCTGCAGGTCGAGGTAGCATTTCCCTTACCCACAGGCCCCACCCAGTCAGTAGCCCCCACGGGTCACCACTATTCTGACTTCTATCATCTTGGATTAGTGTTGTCTGTTTGCTGCTCTTTACTCATAACTACATCATAAACAGTAGTTCATTCCTTTTCAAGTTTATCCACCCATTCTACTGTTGTTAGACATTTTTGTTTCCAGTTTGTGGCAATTACAAGTAAACCCCATACCCCTCAGCAGTCTCCCCAACCCTCCCTCCCCTGCCAGCCCCAGGCAGCCATTAATCTACTTTCTGTCCCTACACAGAGTTGCCAATGCTGAACGTGTCATATAAAAGGGGTCATATAATACCTGGTCTCTTGTGAATGGCTTCTTTCAGTGGACCTAATTTTTTGAGGTTCATCTACCCTGTAGCATATACTTCCCTTCCCTTGTTGCCAAATAATATCCCGTTGTGTGAGTATACCACATTTTGTTTGTCTTTTTAGCAGTGGATGGACATTGGATTGTGCCTACTTTTTAATTCATTTGTCTATTACGAATCCTACTGCTATGAACATTCACATCCAAGTTTTTGGGTGGATGTGGGTTTTCATTTCTCTTGGGTATTCGTGTAGGAGTGGAGTTGCTGGATCATATGGTAACTCTGTGTAAACTTCTAAGGAGCTGCCAGACTGTTTGCCACGGTGGCCGTACCATTTTACGTTCCCGTTGAGGGTTACAAACACTTCTGTTCGTGCTTTTTGGTGGAAACAAGCAGCCACTTATGTTGGGATCTGCCCAGGGTTCGAATCGCTGGGTCATGCCGTGTTCGGATGTTGAACTTTAGTTGGATGCTGCCAGTTTTGCAAAGTAGATAAACTAATCAGTAGTCCCACCAGCCACGTATGCTTGTCAGTGTGCTTAATGGTGGCCTCCTACTGAACCATACTTCCCTCTTAATCAAGACGCCCCCTCCCTTGTTGAAAGCCCAAGCTTGCCAGTTATGTGCTCCCTGGAGCGTAGCTGCCCTGTATTGTGTCTTCAGCCCTGGTCTAGAAGAGTCCCTGTTCTTCCTGCCTTAACCTAGGGAGGAACTGAGGCTCTCAGGCTGGCTGCCTCAAGTGCAAACGGTCAGCAAAGTCTTCCTTCATTACTCCCTGCCCACGCTGTCTCTCAGTGCCATGGGGTGACCTCTTTACTCCCCAGCCCATCCCAGCTGTGACACACAGGTCCAAAATGGCATGCATGACCTGGACCTTCTTTCATTCAGTTACCATGTGGGAAGGGGAAGGGTCTTAATAAAGAAAATGTTGATGTTGGGTCAGAAGACTTGGATTCTCCAAATCCTGCCTCGGCCAACTCACTGGGCAGGGGGCACGTTTGTTTTTGAGCCTCAGTTTTCTCTCCTGTGGAATGGGGAGGTTGACACCTTCTCACAGGATTGTCACTGGGATCCCATGAGACCATGTCTTCATCAATGATTGTTCAGTGCCTGGAATGTGCCAGAAACTCTTCTAGACATGGAGAAGTAGCAGGAGGCAAGAGTGATAGATACCCATGTACACCTCGCAGGCTAGTGGGGAGACAAATACACGAATTTATAGTTTCAGTTAAGGTAGTATGAGTACACCAAGGGCTCTTTGACTCATTCTTGGAGGGATGGGCTTCAAAAAGCCTTCCTGGAGGAGATGGCCTCTACACTGAGACCTGAAGCATGAACAAGGAAGCATAAGAGAGGGGGTCATGGGCACAGAAGGACAAGTGCAACAGCCTGGAGGGGAGATTGAGACCATGACCCTTGAGGTCTAAAAGATGTTCAGTGTGGCTGGAGCAGGTGGGGGTGTGGTAAGAGACCATACTCGAGCAGCGCTGAATATAAGTGGGGTCCCACGAATGTAGCCCCCAGTGTTTTCTCCCTATCCTGAACCTCAGGAACCAGGAGACCTGGCTTCTAAGCACCAATCTGCCCTGTGACCCAGACAAGGCCCATTCTCTCCGTGAGCTCATTTCTCCATCATACAGTGTGGGCGTCTGGCATATGGACTCTCCTGTTGCTTCCAGGTCCTAAAATAGTAGGTGACTGGGCTACTTTGGGGTGGTTTCACCCTGGCTGATGAAAGCCTGGTGTGGCCGGGTGGGCGGTGAGTTCAGCGGTGGGGGCGGAGGTGCGGCACGGGACGCTGGTCCCGAGTGAGGCCCCGGGACCAGCCACTTCTCTGGGCAGTAGGAGCCAGGGCTTCCCTTCCCCCACCCCTCCACGCCTCTCAGGCAGGCGGATCCATCCGTTCCCTGCTCCACTGTGGGCTGCCCTCCCCAGGCATGAGAACCAGGCAGGGATCGATAGGAGTTGCTGAGAACTTCTGAAGAGAGCACGGGGGAGGACAAAGAGACCCGGAAGTGTGTTGTCAGCACAATTTAGGGCTAATACTCAAGTTTGTTTTTCTTCTCATCAAATCTGAAAAGCGGTTTGAAATCCACTGCTCTTGTTTTGTTTTGTTTTTTAATGGCTGGATAAAAGCACAATTGCATTTTCTCCCCCAATAACTTTGAATTCTGGGAATAGACCGTGTGGGGATAATTGCCGTTGTCTAATCCTGCCGATGGCCAAGCAAATGATTAGAAAGGGGAGGAAGGGAGCCTCGGTGGCGGAGGCCCTCTGCCTGCTTCTTGTCCAGCCAGCAGGGCTCTCAGCTCCCCAAATAACACTGTTCCTGAAATAGCAGTTGCCCAGAAATGCATCTGGATGTTGTTTTGCAACAAGTAACTGATCGCACTGGGGGGACATGGAGAGTTCCAGTTATTTAAGTTTTAATTCAATTCCACAACTTCGTATTGAGTGCCTACTGTGTGCCAGGCTCAGAGCTAGGGATGGAGCAGGGAGGGCACAAAGTGAACAAGATACCATGAGCTCATCGGACAGAAGCATAAAGTTCCCCATATTTCAACAAGAGGGTGCATCTGAGAGGCGTCGTAGGGGAGGGGGCAGATATTTGGGTGCCAGGGTTGCTTAGCGGGTAGATTTTGACAGACATCAATGAAATCTCTGTTACAGGTCGGGGAACAGCACAGGCCAAGCCTGGGAGGTCATGCTGGGGAGAGTATTGGTGCTAATACGGAGAAGGGTGTGGTTGGGGGGGTGGGTGGGAGAAGCAGCTTTGGAGGGGGGAGACCTAGTCCTGGCATCCAGCACCCAGCCGGGCACCCAAGATGCCTCTGCACAGGGCTGACTTCTTCATTAGACACAGCGCCCAGGGCTCTGTGTCTAATGTATTTTAATTTTACTTTCCTTTAAAATCCAAAGACAAAAATGAATATAATAATGGATCCAGCCTGGATTATATTCATTTTCATACAAATGCAACTGTAAAAGATCATATTTAAGATATGGTTTTAATGGCGGTAGGGGGCCCATGAAAGTTGTGATGCAGCCCCGCTTCTGTGTCTGTGTCTTCCTTGCCAGGTAGGGGTCCTAAAAGCCTGCACCCTCCCTGATTTTGTAGGAAGGATTCCTTCCTTCTCACTGTTGTCGGGAAAGCTGGTGCATAAACCACTCCAGTTCCTTGTCTCTGTTAGTGCGGGGAGGGAAGGGTGTATGCCCAGGTGCCCACCCGCTTGCCCAGCTACCTTCTGGTGAGTTTCATTTACTCCCCACGGCCCCTCTTTGAAGTAGGTGTTGTTATGACGAGGAAACCGAGACTCTGAGAGAAGGAACTTGCCCAAGCCTGCAAAAAGGCAGAGCGGCAGTTCAGACCCAGGCTTGTCTACCTCCAAAGCCCGCACGTCCGTCCGGTTTCCTCTGCCTCTGGAACTGGGAACCCCCACGGGCCAGGACTTCCCACATAACCTGCCTGGTGCATCCCTAGGATGGCATCAGGCCCGGATGGTGCTTCTGGGGTACCTGGATGTGCCTTTGGTGAATGGCAAAGAAGGGTCTGTGTGTGTTCATTGATGAAAAGGAGGCTGTGACATTCTTCTTCTGCCCACACTCCTCAGTCTTTGTCCATTACATCCCTCTTTCCTAATTTATTTTTATTTTTAATCTTTTTTTAACGTTTATTTATTTTTGAGACAGAGAGAGACAGAGCATGAACAGGGGAGGAGCAGAGAGAGAGGGAGACACAGAATCTGAAACAGGCTCCAGGCTCTGAGCTGTCAACACAGAGCCCGACCCGGGGCTCGAACTCACAGACCGTGAGATCATGACCTGAGCTGAAGTCGGACGCTTAACCGACCAAGCCACCCAGGCGCCCCAACTCTTTCCTAATTTAAAAGGAAAGCCAAGGGGGCACCTGGAGGGCTCAGTCAGTTGGGCATCCGACTTCGTCTCAGGTCATGATCTCATGGTT